TTTTTTTTTTTTTTTTTTTTTTTTTTTTTTTTTTTTTTTTTTTTTTTTTTTTGAAGAAATTTTATTGTTCATGAATGTACGTTTACATCCACCGACGATCGTAATAGGATACGAGGAGGCGACTGTTGGAGGAGAGGGGCTTCAAGAACCCGGTTTTGCTGTTGCACCCGCTGGGTGGCTGGACGAAGGACGACGACGTGCCTCTCGAGACGCGTATGCTGCAACACAAAGCCGTCCTGGAAGATGGTGTGCTCGACGCCAAATCAACTCTGCTGGCCATCTTTCCGAGCCCGATGATGTATGCCGGACCGGTCGAGGTGATTTTTATTTTTTTATTTTACGAGCTCGAATACGTATGAAACAAAAATAAATGATGGAGTATCTAATACGTGTCTACTTCAATTTGCATCAGGTCCAATGGCACGCAAAGGCGCGAATGAACGCGGGTGCAAATTTCTACATCGTGGGCCGGGATCCCGCGGGTATTCCACATCCCGATAGCACCGCGACGCTCGATGGTAATCTTTACGATCCGACTCATGGTGCTCGCGTCCTATCCATGGCCCGAGGCCTGCAGAAACTGGAAATCATTCCCTTCAAGGTTGCTGCCTACGACATGGTCAATAAAAAAATGTCCTTTTTCGACCCCGCTCGGAAGCAAGATTTTGACTTCATCTCAGGGACGAGGATGAGAAGTGAGTTTTACTTTTTTCATTTTTACTCTCATGAATTAAAACTATGACTGAATTTACCGTCTCGTTTGCAGATTTCGCGAGAACCGGCGAGCTGCCGCCGAATGGTTTTATGGCTCCCAAAGCTTGGGACGTACTTGCAAAGTATTATCAAAACAAATGAACGATCAACGATGAAAAAAAAAAAACAATATTTTAATCAATTGATTTTTAAACGTTAAGACTATTTTATATCAATTTGGAAAGCTGATGATTAGCGCTGGAGTATCATTTTTAATTAATATTGTAAATACGACACTTGTGCAAAAAAAACAATATGTAAGATAACTCTAGCGAATCTTAACTATTTTGCATTCCATTTTTGACAAACTTTTTCAGGTAACATGTACACACGCTCAATTTCACTGTTGTATCCGCGTACATGGCGATTTCAACACCCACACGCTAAAGTAAAAGTCCTGCACTTATTTTTATTTTTTATATTATAAAAAAAATTTATTTTCAACTTTACTTATAATTCTAGATTCAAAGTCGCATACTATGAGTAACTTGTGGCATAAAAAAATCCACTTCTATGCATAATTATTACTTCTCTTGCTTTTCTTGTTTATCCCCGAAATTAACTATAATATATGTTTCTATATAACAGAGTCTATTATATGTATGTACAGAAAGTAAACAGGTTGAACTGGGCTATTATATTTTATATATACTTTAAAGAGATGGCAAAATATTTGAGTTTCTATATAATTTATCATTGTTTGTATGTGAAAGATAATTAATGTGTTATCAATTGTAAGTATTTTTAAATCTTTATTACAATCATCAGTTATTGTACATAATACATGAATTTCTAAATGTAAATTTCATGCTCATAAAGTGTTGTTTTATTATTTTCTCACACAACTGGAACCTGAATATCATAATTTTCATTTAATGATATTTTGTGAAAACTAGTACTTGCTAAACCAAGTATATATAATTTATCAAAAAAAACTTTGTTCTGTGAAAGATACGACATTATTTCGTATACTTAATAGTCATCTAACTCATCAATCTTTTCAATCCTATTTTACTTTACATGATTTTATTTATAAGGACAGTTTTAAGTTATTAAAATTTATCACTCGATTGCTCTTGTCTCATACTTTTCAGAATAAAACGAAATAGTTTTAATTTATCGTACTTCACACACTTAAAGTATATTAAAAACAACGAATAAATCCGCTTCTCATTTTGTAATGCACAGAAAGTAAGAAAGAGCATGTTAATCAATTGTCATATACAGTAAATGTTAAATTCACTACGCAGTAGCGATCGATTAACTTTTGCGAAGTGACGTGTTCGTCAATCGCTGTAACATCAAGGTGGAAGGTACGTTAACTTGCATATCAGACGTACGACTTGATAGATTGTCCACTAAGGTATACGGTACTATAGTAACATTTCCTGCTTCGTCTTGTTCTTCAATTTGAATGACAGTTACAGGCGGCAATTGGGACATCATTTGCGTCTCCATCTGATTTTCCACGTCTTCATCTCTGGTAGCCACTTCGTCATTACTAGCTGTTAAAGCTAAGTTATCCACGTAAACCTGCAAAACACAATAGTTTTATGAGTTGCATGCAATTGAACACATTTAAGATATTCTAAAATCGAACGTACCTGCTCAAAGGAGACTCTTGAATTTGAAGCTGTCGATTCTCCGTCCAGTTTGGCATTCTCTGACGACGGGTCGAAGGACTCAATGCTCACGACTCCATTTTCGTCAATGTACTCTTCGCTGACAACCTCGAAATGATCTCCTTGCTCGGCAAACTCAACGAGCAGCGGATTTTTCTTTTTCCTGTTCCTCTTTCTCGACGTACCACCAGTACTATCCCTACTCGTAATGATCCTCTTGAATCCAGAACCACCGAGAGATTCGTGCCTTCGCTCGTGTTTGTTCCTATCCCCGAGATACTTGAACTTCTGCTGGCAAACACTGCAGGCGTAAGGTCTTTCATTCGTGTGGGTCCGCTCATGGCACACCAGAGCACTGACTTGCTTGCAAGTATGTGGACAGTACTTGCACTGGAGCGGACGCTCGTTACTGTGGCGGTTCTGCTTGTGCTTGACCAACTGAATCTTCGTCTTGAGCATGAAGCCGCAATCGTCACAGGTGAAGGGTCGTTCCTCCGAATGCGATATCATGTGGGTCTTGAGTCTCAAGTGGTTGACGAAACGTTTGGTGCAGTGAGGACAGCCCAAGGTGCCCTCCATCCGATTGTGGGTAATCATCATGTGGTGCTTTAGGCGCACCTCGGAGGTGAACGTCAGATTACAGTCAAGACAGTTCATGGGCTCCTTCTCGATGTGAGTGTTTTTCACGTGATTGCGCAGGATCATCTCGGTCTTGAAGGTTTTGTCGCAGTGCTTGCACATGATTCGCTTCGTCTCGGCGTCGATGCCCGAGCTATCCGTTATCGGATACGATTCGTTGTGTATGTGCGTCATGTGCCACTCCAGCGATCGGATCGAAACCATCGACCTGTTGCAAATGTTACAAGTGTAATTGCGGCCGTCCCGGTGATCGCGGTTTCGATGGATGACTAGTGTCGAGTGATTCGGGAACTTTCGTCCGCAAACCTGGCACGAGCACTCCTTGATTCCTTTGCTATTTTCGCCCTTCTCGTGAACCCTTAGATGCAGCCTAAGGCCGTCTCTGCGGTTGAAGCCGACACCACAGTGATCACACTTGTATTGCCTCTGGTCCTCGTGAATCCGCATGTGTTGCTTCAACGTCGAGGTGTTTTTGAACTTTTTGTCGCAGTGCTCGCACTGAATGCTGTACGATTTGTGAGTGCTCATGTGCTTGGACATGCTATACACTAGTATCATCTTGTGGCACTCTTTGCACTCTTTCGTGTTGTTTGATATCTGATGCTTGCGTACCCTGTGGTGCCGCAAGCTCGCCGGGTTCTTGAAGTTCGAACCACAGTCCTCGCAGAGATAAGCGCGGCTAGTCGTGTGCACAGTTTTTAGGTGAAAGGTCAGTTTCGTCCTGAAGGCAAATTTTTTCGGACACTGCGGACACTTGAAGACCTTTTCAAGCTTCATGTGCTTGATTTTCAAGTGCTGATCTAGGGTGCCTTGATGTTTGAACTTCTCGCCGCATCTGTCGCACAGCTGTCCATACTCATCGTCGCAGTGCTTCTGTTCGTGCTGGCGTTTTTTTCCCTTGGTATCAAGCACCATTTCGCAAAACCTGCACAAAACTTTGTGAATGCACGTCGCGTTGTGAGCTCGTTTTGCTTTGTACGAGATAAACTCCGTCTCGCAGTCAAAACAGTAATGCATCAGTTTTACTTCATGATTCTTTTCGTGCGCGAATTCCAGCTCAAGAGATTTGAAGCTTTCGAAGCAAAAGTCGCAGTCAAAACTTTCCTGAGGTTCAAAGGGATCGGTATTATCCTCTTCTGGCTCTTCTTCGGGAATATGTGGCTTTTGGATGACAACGTTGTTTTTTGCTTCGTACAGGGCGATTACGTCCTCATCTTTTAAACGAGATATAATGATTTTGCGTTGCCTCAAATGGCTAATGAAATCACTAATGTACTCATCCTTTTGACCTAAGATCGACTTCAATCTATTGATGCATTCTTCCGACACATCCTTGTCATAGGCTTTTTTTCCAATATCTGGATACTTTAGCTTAAGTTTGATATCTTGGGATGAATCTGATAAAGTTGGCATAGAATCTTCATGCCGCTTTTGTGTAAAATAATTCTTCATGTTGCTAGGGATATCTTCATCGTCTGAGAAGTACTTTCCTTTTCTTACTTCTGTATTTTCGATGACACTGTCTGACAAATTGGAGACATCACCCATAATCGCTGCTTTCCTTTTTTTATACAGCTCTATTTGTTCATCAATGTCGTTTTTACTTGGTTTACCGACATTCGAAGTAGGCTTTACTGACTTTTCATTTTTTTCAATTTTTTTTACTTTAATTAAAAGCATTTCATTAGGTTTATTACCCTTTGCAGTAACGTAAATAATGTCTCCTTTTTTTGAGTCTACATTGATTGGCTTATCTAAATTGAGTCTTGGAATTTTCACTCTTAAATCCATGTTTAATTTTGTGGTATCTATATTTTTACATTTATTAGGATCACCATCATTCATGTGTTCCGTTATTGCCTTTCTCTTCAGTATATTAGGCCTTTTAGGTGAATGATTGGGAGGTGAAGAAAAATCTTCAACTTTTATAGTGTTATCTGTTTCCTTCGTTTTTGGAACAACTAGAAACTGATTTTTTTCCTCTGTATCAATTTTTGTGTATGAATTAACTAAATCATCAAATTTGTAAGAAATTTCATTAGACGAAGACGGTTCATTGAATTTTTGTTCATCAGAAATGTCAATAGGATCAAATTCTTCAAAAATAGCTTCATCTCCTTCATTAAAAGTATCGTCAACTTCATCATAATGCTCTTCATAATCTGTTTCTTCAAACATTTCCATTTTGAAAGATTGGCTATCATAACTAATATTTGATTCAATATTTTCCAGTTTCCTTGGTGAGTCAGATGTGTCAGACTCAACTTCACTCTTAACATGAATATCCGTCTCTTTTGAGACTTTATTGAGTGAATCATAAATGGACTGCAATTTCATTTCAGCCTTTTTAATTTGCATAAAAAGCTTGTAACTTGCTCGTATTTCACAGATGCACTCCATACATATTTGAGTAGATAAACTAGTATCTTTGTTAATATCCTCCAGATGTTGTATTTGCTGAAGTAATCTCATTTGATTACCTTTTGCACTGAAAAAGTCAATCATTGGAACTTTCATTCCTGCACAGACACGACAGTATTTTTTGAACTTTTGTTTGATCTCTTCAGACATTTCTACATTTTTCTTAATGTCTGGTGATAATATTGAAGGCAACTTGAGACAAGGAGTAGCCTTTTTAAAGTCGGGGCTACTCATGTTTATTATTTTTTGGGCAACAAACTTTTCTTTCACGTGATTGGAGACTTTTGAATGGGTTACATTGCTTTTTGCGTTAATAGACTTATTCAAATTAGCAACATTTGCTAAGAAATCTCCCATCTTTACTACATCTAGATTCATTTACCTGAAAAAAGGACAATCTTTTTATAAATACAGTAAAGTTTATTGGTACAACATTTAATTTCATTACTTTTACTTTCTATTTTCTTGCATTAAAAATCATGCCCAAAATAATGTGTACGATTCTCTGCAAATAATGCTTACAGATCGGCATGCAAGCTAGGGTACAAGCTCTTACTAAAACACCCTCAGAATCATTTCAAGCTTCTTTGATATACTTATGTAAAAACCCATTATTCAAGATTAAACCCTTTCAATTTACATAATCCTACCCAGGTATGTGAGTTAGAATGAAATTTGCAAGACCAACAATCTATTAAGCCCAAGCATCTTTAAATTGAAATCCTGATTGTAAGTAGGTAGAAGCAAATCGTCAGGAAACAATTTTAAAAAAGGGGTAGGGTACACATAGAGTCGATGGATGTAGTTAGACTGTACATACGCCGAATGAAAAAAAAAAACCCTTACGATAGAATGATAGACTAAATTAGAATCAAAAGTATACTTTGTGCTCACCGTAATAACATGATATAAGAATGTCGTATCCACTCTTATAGAGGCACTATCCAGATGGCGCGTGGCCTGTGAAAGCGTGAACTTTCCTTTTTTGAGGTCGAGGTTTCAGCCAAGTATATACTTACTTATTCCGTGGCTGGTAGATGGATGTACAAACTTATAACAATATTCAGTACATCCAATGCTGATACAGATTATTGGGTTTTGACTGTTGTTAATAACGATAACCTACATGGTTAATACAGTTTCTTTGTTTCCTGTAAAAATTTAAGTAGTAACACGTAGCTACATCCGACAGTTTACTGTTTAATATGTGAGCGATGGTATTGGCACTATGGTTGCCGCGTTGGGCGTTTGTTATACAAATATATACGTATAGCGTGTGTCACTGAACGACGAGAGGAATTAGGTTTGTTCGCAATCGACAAAGTTGGTTCTCCCGTTCCGTATATACACAGTTATGGAACACTGGAAGACCGGTCGGTAAGGTAGTTGGCATTTTGATGTATGATACATGTATGGCATATAAAAAAGTGTAATTGGAGGGGAATATAAATATAAAATGTACATACCTAAGAAATAAAATACAATTATACACATCTAAGATTTTAAACATACTTATATAAGAGAAACAGCAAAAAAAGGTTATAAATGATCAACAGTCCTATTTACGTAACAGCTTTCTGCTCTCATCACTTATAACAAACTAAATTTGACAAACAATTTTTTTAGTTCGTAAAGCCATTGAAAGATTCTTTTTTTTTTTTTTTTTTTTTTTAAGTCACTCTTTTTTTTATTACAATCACATATAATTATTATAAACAAATAATTTTTTTTTAATCGGTTTTTATTATCATTGAAAAATGAAGTAACTTTTACATTTTAAGCATTGTTGCATTAATTTTTTATGTAAAATATAATTAAAGCAAGGATTTAAAAAAAAGGACCTACTATCGTTGTTTATTTTCAGCAAGATACATACATATTTATACAAGGATTTTGCTTGTTTTACCTTGAACAGATGCATATTTGATTTAAATTCTCATATTTTGCATTCATAAGATATTTAAAACGAGAAAAAAAATTTTTTAAATATTCAATCGTAACTATGAGTTTCAGTGGTTTTGTTGTTACGTAAAAATTTTATTTTGGAAGCTCGAAATGCTTGTGTCCTTCGATAATATAAAACAAAAGTATCATACGTAGGTCGGTCATCCATGACCCCTTGGATAAAGTCAATACATAGTCAGATACTTTGGTAAAAACCGAGATTCCTCCCCTTTCGCAGTTTTTCGTATTAACTCTACTCGAAACTCCAATCACTTTTTCATCATAAACGAGAGGACTTTCACTGTCACCCTGAAAAAATTTAAAAAAAATTGATGTACTTCAACAAAAAATTATTTCTTTATTTTACGCAACTAACAAAACACGATGCCTTTCTAATTAAGTAACACTAAATTTCGCATCACCTAACGCAAGTCACCGAGGCTCAAAAAATGTGTAAAGGTAGAAAAAAAAAAAAAATTCTTCATACAATCAATGCCGGTATCAATTATTAAGTATTTTCTTCTAACCCATTGCCACGAAATTTACGTGGAATTTCCGTGGCCAGGGAAAAAATTAGAATTTACTTGTTACGTTTTTTATATTAGTACTATGGCTCAATGGTAAGATATGTTTCGTACAAAGCAAATGCTACAATTATAATATAAATATTAAAAAAAAAAAAAAAAAAAAAAAAAAATTTTTTTTTANGAGTTGACACATAAGTTTTTAAAATTCTGATATATTGTATATGGCCGATTTTACGTGGAAAACATGTAGCTTTCACGCGGACCTGTTATAAAAACAAAAAGTTAAATAAAATACTAATGAAAGAAGTGAATGACTCTATAACTTGGTGAATAATTAAAATTTACGTTACACAAATAAATTTAATTACTTTTCAAATTCTTATACATCTCTATGATTGGGCATTCATATGGCAGTCGCTGATTTAGTGGCAAAATGTACAAATTGCAACTGGCAAGTTTCGGAACTATTTTGGTATTTGTTTTTAATTGTAATTTGTTGAACCATATACTATATAATATTTGTTTAAAATTGTACAATCCCGTTTTTTTCGTCCACCGTTCTGAAACAGTCCTTATGAGTTCTACTCTCAGTTGCAGTTCTCTGCAGATGCGCGGGTGGAGTCTCTCAGACTCTCTCTTCGTCTTCGTCATTCTCGAAAATATTATTACCACATAACCACAATACAAGTCCCGCTAGATGGCGCTGACACTTGTTTTATAAAATTTTTCACTATAATATAATAGGCGTTTCACAACTGTACACACTTTCAATGGTTTTATTTTATGGGTGCGATAATAAATTTGATGGTCTGCTACCAATTGTTGAAGTTTGAACCAAAGAGTTGATTTTTTTTATGACAGTGACGTGTACTCAAGCTATCAGATACGGATAACGATGAAGTGTCAAGATAAAAACATTTGTGATGTCGACATTTGTTTACGAAACAGACATGGATAGAATGTTTTGACATGCCGGCGTTCTAATCGGAGAGGTAGTTGTTAGATACTCGAGAGAAACTAAGTCAAGATGATGACTGATTTTTCAATGACGGGCAACTCCTGCGGCCAAAATCTATTGCGGCTAGTTGCCAGGGGAAATGCTATTATTGCCGAGCTTATGCGCTTAAAAAACTACATTCCACCAGTTTACAGGTCACTTATACTTAAATTTAAAAATTATTTATTAACATTATATTCAATGGACCTTAAAAAAAACATTGTCGCTTACTTTACTTGTAGGCTGGATTCAAAACATCACATACAAAAATATGGTCAAATTATTATTGATTTTGCTTATTTTAAAGCAGCTACTACTCACGAACAAAAAATCGAAAATGATCAAGTATATATCAGTATATAATTTTTTTCATGATGATTGGTTGGGAAATAATATATGTTACATATATATATATATTTGTGTCACACAGGTGCTTCAAGAACTTGATGAAGAACTTAGGAATAATTATTCAGATATACTTTCAAGATTTTACTTGGGTTTTGAAAGTATTCACAAATATATTACCGATCTTAATAGTTATTTCGATGAGTTAGATGATGGAGCTTACATCCAGCAATCCATAGAATCTGTAATGTTAAATGAAGAAGGGAAACAATTAATTGTGAGATACTGTTTTTACTATAAACAATTTCTATCCATCTGAATAAACCTTTTAATTGTAATTACAGTGTGAAGCTATTTATCTCTATGGAATCATGCTATTGGTTGTTGACTGTTACTTTGATGGTAGGATTAGAGAGAGACTTCTTGTGTCGTATTATAGATACAATTCTCAAAGGGCATCATCCACTAAAGTAGATGATATTTGCACACTACTTCGTTCCACGGGATTTGTCAAAGGAGTATATAAAAGACCTTTAAATTATCCTGAATCATATTTTCAGTTAGTACACTTAGATTTGCTTAACACTTGAATGAAATTCAGACAAAAATTTTTACTTCCTCTTGATTTAATTAGGAGAATACCCATCAATGAGTCAATATTAGATCTGGCTATAGCACGATTGCGCACTGATGAAATTTATAATCAGACACGTGCATTTCCTCATCCAGATCATAGAAGTATAGCTTTGGCCAATCAATCTTCTATGCTCGTCATACTATTATCATTCAGACCTTCAGTCTTGATGAATCAATCAGCAGTCATGAGAGAAATTGTAGATCGATTCTATCCTGATTCATGGATAATCAGTGTATACATGGGCATAGTTATCGATCTGTGCGACTGGTGGAGCCCTTACAAAGCTGCTAAAACAGCTCTCAATAATACTTTGGAAAATTCAAATATCAAAAGAGTCGCTCAAAAGTATGGCCAAAGAATGGAAGTTAGTAATAGCAAGTACATATAAATAATATCATGACAGCACCTGCAAGCTCATTAAGTATTTGAACAATTTTTTTTAGAAACACCTGAAAAAAACTGAAGAAGCGCAAGTAACTCTTTCATTGGATGAAGGTGCGATAGGATCGGTCATAAAACTTATTAGGGAGTGTAATGTAACATTACACTGGTTATTACTACATACAGCCCATCCGACCATTCAAACAGAAGACTCAAAACGCTCTAGAAATCTGAAACAGTTAGTAATTCAAGAGAGCAAGTACACTATAAATGAAACATTACGTTTACTGCTAAGCACTGCTCAAATTGAAGATAACATCAAGCAAATGTACAAGCAGGTATGTAATAACGCAAATAAGTACAACTTTAATTGTATGTTACAATAAAAAAGTAACTGATTTTTATTTAGTTATTGCAAGATAAAGAAAACAAATGGATAAAAAGCAAACAAAAATGTATTGAAAAAATGATCAAGTTATCTGAGGCTTTTACTGGCAGTAAACAGTTGGCCGACATAGAAAAAAATCCAACTCTCGAGTCATGGTTTAAAGAAATCAGTAAACATATAGATTCATTAGCTGAAGATGATGGAAAAAAAATTATGCAACTATTGCAAGCCCTAGAAGAAGTACAAGGTAATATTATTATCAACATAAGAATTTTTAATTTTTCTGTACAAGTTAATGAAATTTTTGACACATATGTTTAATTTTAGAGTTTCATCAGCTAGAAAGTAATTTACAAATATCACAGCATTTAACAGAAACGCGACAAATTTTACATAATATGTTAAGATCAAGCTCGATGAATGAAGATACGATGATTGCACTAAATATTGTCACAGATTGTTGTTATGCATGGAATATAATGGAATCGTTTGTACCAGTAATGCAAGATTTAATCAAAGGCGACCCTAATACTGTTATACAATTAAAAGCACTGTTTTTTAAAGTAAAATTTTTGAAGTACTATAAATGAAAACAAAATTTTTATAAAGTCCTATTAATTTCAATTTTTTTAATCCAGATGGCTTCTGCTCTCGAAATGCCTTTGTTGAGGATAAATCAGGCCAAAAGTGCGGATTTGGCGTCGGTGTCTCAGTACTACAGCAGAGAATTGGAAAGTTATGCTAGGCGTGTTTTGCAAATCATTCCAGAATCCGTTTTTGCAATTCTCGCTCAAATTGTACATCTTCAAACAAACGTTTTTCTTGAAATACCGACAAAACTGAGTAAAGATAAAATTAAGGATTATGCGCAATTGAACGAGAGATTAAAGGTAACTGAAAAAAAAGCTTACTCTACATTTATTTTAATACATCGATTCTTTTTGTAGATGGCAGAATTGACATATTCAGTTTCTGTTTTTACAAATGGTATGTTGGCTTTAAGAAGTGTATCATTAGGAATCCTGAGAGTTGATTCCCACAGGCTTTTAGAAGATGGGATTAGGCAAGAGTTTGTAAAAAAAGTATCCTTAGCATTACACAACTGTTTAGTCTTTGATGTAAAATCCAAGGTAAGATTCTTATTTCATTCATCTGCACTCTAATACTATGTTAATCAAACGTATTGTATTTCAGGGAATTTTGATTCAAAAATTACAAGCACTGTCTCTAATAATAGAAGGATATCGAAAATCTTTTGAGTATATTCAAGATTATATTAATATCAATAGCTTAAAAATTTGGCACGAAGAAGTACGTATGAAAATATGTTACAAAAACTGAAAATTCGATTAAAAATAAACTAATTTTTAATTTTAGATTACATATATCATAAACAATGCAGTTGAAGAAGAATGCAGAGGTTCTACGTGGACACCTGGAAAATGGGCATTTCAACCAGAAGATAAAACAAATGTAAACTTCTTACCAACTGATCCCAATTCATTGACATTTATGGGAAGACTTGCAAGAGAATTAATCCGAATATCAGATCCAAAGTAAGTATTTGTAGTAGTAAGTATTGTACAGCGTCAGACATTCTTTTAAAAAAAATTTTTTTAATTCTAGGACGACCTTTTATTCTGAACATTCTCTGGCTTGGTATGATCTCAAAACTCAAACAGAAGTTATGAGTCACAAAGCCTTTAAAATGATTTTGCAAGCCATGGGTGCACCTGGACTTGCTGGATTGGATAAAATGATGTCCCATTTCGTCGCAGTTGAAATGCAAAAAGTCGTTAAATTTATCAACGAAGGCTTGAGAAACAAAACTTGGGCAAATACCTTAAAAGACTGTGAAACACTATCTCAAAATACAGAAAGCTTGAGAAGTAATTTAATTTTTCTGAATCATTTTAAAGATCGTAACATTAATTGAAGTTATAATTGACATATTTTTTACAGATAATCGATCTAAATTTTTATCAACTGTAAATACCTTAGTCAGCAAAGTTTGGTCGTCGCTGTTCGATTCATTATTGAAAATCGGTCATCTACAAATTTTGAAGCAAAAAGCAGCTTATGAGTTAAATACAGCCTGTAAATTTGAAGCAAGACATATGGAAGCTTCTCTTCAAGCTCTGAATAAGTAAGTTTTTTATTTACAAATATATATATATATTTATGGG